TGCGCCCCCCAGCTTTGGGAACAGAGAGGCCACTTCCTGCCCTTTGTGCCCCCCCCCCCGCCCAAATGATGTTCATGGCGGGGGCAAACGGCCCATTTCCTGCCCTATCCGGCCCTCCGCGCTCGTGCACGTGATCATGGCGACCTGCTTCACTGGAGGCAGTACCTGATTGGCTCCATGGTGTTCTCCGGGACATGCACGGAAATGCTTATGGCCGTCGGGTTTTCGGCCTCGTTCTTTTGCCGGATGCAGTTTTTTTGGGGGCTGACACAAATTGAAATGACCATTTTGTCAAGTCATCCTTGACTTTTCTTTCCTTCCTTCTCTTTCTGGAGTGCGTGTCCGGTCATGTTCACCAACACATAACCCCACAACGGACGCACAATTCTGCCAGACTTCCTGTAAACTTTTCACTCCCACACCGCGGCGTGATCTGAGTCGCTAGGCACAAAACTTGCTTGGCCTTTTCTTTGTTTAATTCGTCCCTTTTTTTTTTTTTTTTAATGTATTTATTTTTTTTCCCATCCCTTCACCTTATCCCTTTCTGTGTGGAAGGGACGGAGATGGGACGGACTTTTGAGGTGTCGAATTTTGTGGGGGCAGCAGATATCGCGCACTGCCACTCGGGCGTAAGAACGGCCCTGAGAAAAGGGGGTCTCCTAGGATCGAAGGTCCAGAGGCGTCTTATTGAGAGCGAAAAGGGATGAGGTCCCGAGGGAGACATCGCCATTGGGGTCTGTTCTGTCAGCTTGCTGGAAAGGGACATGTGCAGGTCCCTCCGCGGATGGCTCAGAGAGCACCCTTCGGATGTGTCAAACAGTCGGTGGTTGGCGGTTCGGAGTCCCGTTTGCACTCTTATAGGGGACTGCGTGCTTAGCAGCCCCCTTGCAGTCGACGAAGGCGACGTTCCGGGCGTGGGTTTTGGGACCTTGTACTCGAGTTACGAGGGACTCTATGCACACGCTTTGGGTGGTTTCCAGTTTGCGAGGGAYGGGCGAGTCGTGCTTTGGTGGTCGAGCGAACATTTTTGCGGCGCCGTTCGGGTCCATGGTCGTCTCTCTCATTTTTGGCAGCGGTCGCGGCTGTTGGGGCTTTCCTATGCCGTGGTGCCGGGTTGTGGATGGTTGCGTTCACCCTCACTCATCGTGTTGCGATGATTGGCGCCTGATCGCCGACGGCGGTCCGGTTGGCGGTCGTTTGCAGGGTGTGGAGGCGGAGGTGCCCGTCACTGGCTCTCAGCTTCGGCACCATCATCCCGTAGGTTACGGGGAGAGCTATTGCGGCTCTATTGTGGTGTCGTCTTCGTGTCCGCGCTCACGACGGCGCGTTCCGTTTGTGTTGAGGGGGTGTCACGACTTGGTGAGGACGCTCTACGCTCTCCGCCATCCGAGCGGCGCCATTGAGCGGTGGCGCAGGTGGCCTCGGCCATGCACCCGCTGCTTACCGTATGAGAGGGCGGAGACTTGTGGGATGCGTGATGCACCCTCTGACGGCGTCGCGAGGCTGGGCCCGTCATCCGCCCGAGTTTTTGGAATGCGCGCTTGTGCCTGTCGTGTCCCCCATCCTGTGGTCTCGGTATGTTGCACACCGTGACGGATCGCGTTGCGTCGTGGTTCCGCTGCGTTTAGGTTGTGGGCTTCGAAGGCTACTGTCCTCTGTCTCCTGGGTTTCACCTGCGTCAGGTGCTGTTGGTGGTGCCCTCGGCAACCGGCCGATGTGGACCCAGGGGGGAGAGGGGTTGTGTTCCTTTTGCGCCCCCGTGCACAGGTGGAGGCTTTCCGTCTGTCCGGGCGTGTTGGAAGCGTGGTGCGTTCATTTCTCTCTTCACCCTCGTTTCTAGATGGAGAGATGAGGCTGTGCACTTCTCTGTCGGTACGTTTTGGGCGGGCGGTGGCCCTCGGCCGTGGGCCGAAGCTGTCGGTGGTTCCTTCGCGCGCGCCGTTGTTCGGGTAGTGTGGTTAACTTGTGATCTCTGGGTGTGGTGTGGGCGGGTGCTGTTCTCAGCCAATCTCTTGGGCGGGTGAGGCGGGCTGTGTTGGATTGTCTGGTACCTTGCCGTTGGAGATGGCCTACGGAGGGAAGTTCGCCTGCAATTCAAACAGCCGGACTTCGCAGCGTCTCGGCAACTCATTGCACGTTCCACGATTGTTCGACRTTCTTTTGGTAGGCTGTCCGGCGTGACGTGCCTACGTTCGCCTCGGCCATCGCTCCTTGCGGCTGCTCGTCACTCCCGCTACCTGGTTGATCCTGCCWGTAGTCATATGCTTGTCTCAAAGACTAAGCCATGCACGTAACAGTTTGCACTGGAGTGAAACTGCGACTGTGTGAAAATTAGCACAGCGGAACGGCAAAATTAGCGCAGCGTAGTGGTAGGTCGGCGGGGGCGTAGGCGAACGGGGGCTTTTCACGTGGCGAACTGCCGCCCGGTTTTTTTCGGTTTGACTTTTTTCGGTCGTCGGGCTCGTGTAGGGTTGACGTGCCGAATAGCGCGGGACCTGGTGACCAGTGGCGCGGGTCAACGGCGGCGGTCGCGTGAGGGTTTATGAGGCGAGCGCACCTGCAGCTGTCCTCGAGCTCTGCAAGGCAGGCCATGGTGACCGTCGGCTGGTAGGACAGGAGGAGTGACGAGCCACTGGTGAGTGGCGCAGCTAAGCTCGAGGCGTACGCCAAGGAGGCCGATCGGCGACAGGAGGTCAACAGGGGCGTGGGGCGCAACGGCGGCCGTGGTGCACGAGCACCGTCATCAGACCTTATCGAAGCCAGGGAATTCCCTGGCGATGCTGGGCCAGTGGTGGTTAGTGGCATGTGTGCTTAGTGAGATTGGGGGGGTTCTTTTGTATATAGTGGGTTCAACGGATGTTTGCGGACCATGCACGAGGCTGGTAATTGATCGGATGCTTCAGCGACTCGGAATCCTGGTGGCGATGGCGCTTGGGGCAACGGCGATATTGGGCGCGTGGGGTGGACTGCGCCGCAACTTGCATCGGCGGGGCAGATTACGCCCCCACGGGCGACAAGTACAGCCGGGGGAGGCCCTTCCGGCCATACCGCCGGGTTACGAGCGGGTGGAGCGGTGGGAAACCGTTATGATGGTCCGTAGGAGAGTGTATTTGCGGCAGATAGGAGGGTGAGGCAGGCGGTCGTGGGCACTGGGCTCTGGAGCGTCTGGTTGGGCTCGTGAGAGGCGGGTAGAGCTGCGGAGGGGCGGTCGGGTGGGTAACATTCGGTAAGCGCTGGGGCAGCGCCAACCTGTGGAAGGAATTGTATTAGGCACTACGGTGCCTGCGGTAACGTCAGTAGAGATGGCGGTATGTGGGGGTACAGTCGATACCGCAGTAGTAAGGGATAGCGGGACTCTGATGCGGGCTCTGAGGCGGTCTTATCTCCGCCATCAGGCCCTCGACGACAAAGGGTTAGTCGAATACAAACTGATGTATGGGTACTGTATGGTTCGACCTATCAACGAACTCATTTACCTTCAGAGCACGTACTTGCGAGCACAGACGGTAGTTTGCAAATTCCCTGCAGCAGCGAGACGGTGGCCGAGGGAAACCAAGAGGGAATGGATCGGCCTCCGGGACGAGTTATGGACCCGGGAAGAGGCCCTTGGAAGGGGGACATTGAGCTGGAAGGGGATTCAGTGGATGGGAATGGTTGATCGAGGAGCGGCGAAAAGAGCCAATCTAAGTGGATGGGAAGATGTTGGAAGTCGCCCTGCTGCCGTGGAAATCGCCAGCCAAAGCAGAGGCGCAGAGATAGGAGGATCGACAACGGAAGTCGTGGGTGAAGGTGTATCGGGCCTCGCAGTTGGCAGAAAAGTGGGTGCGGGGTGCGGTCGAACACTTCTTCGGACCCATTTTGGATGAGCAGCCATACGTGGATGAGGAGCGCGCCTATACACGATATGAGATCGACGGCCCGCTCATCTCGCCTCTAGCAAACACCCTGGCTATTGCAACTGGCATTTATACGTGCCAAGAAGTTAGAGTGGTGACCAATGAATCCCCCTTCTGCGAAGTCTGTCGAATTCACGGACACCTTAACGCACACGGGGGTTGCCTTACGAAGCAGGAGTCGGCCAAGGAGCTCCAAGATCGAGCAGTCCGGCGCTTATTGGAACCGATACTGCAATCGGACCCGACGCGGGAGCGGAGTGCCTGGAGAGAGACGGAGCTGCAATACGATTTGCAGTTGTGGGAAGAGCACAAGGCCGCGATGCAGGTGGGGGTGGCGGAAGTGCCTAAACCCAAAATGCCCAGGCAAAGAAGGCGGGGAGAAGCAGTGCGACGGAACCGGGTGTGGGACGGACGAGACCAGACAGAATTGGACCCCATGCAAGTTGACCAGGCGGGGTGGATGTTCCAGCAGGGTGCGAACAAGAGGGGCGGGGAGAACCCGGGGGAGCCGCATGGCGAGGACCGGAAGAGGGCGGCAAGTGGGCCAGCGGAGGACGCCCAGCAAGAAGGGAAGGGTGCGGCCAAGGGGCTGGAGGGCGAAGAGCGACAGCAGCTGCACGAGCAGCCCCTCCCCCCTCCCCCCCCCCTGGATGGCACAAAGGCTCC